CTCGGCTGCGGCCCCGCTACCGCCGCCGCCCTCCGCGCGCATGCGCCGCCGCCGCTACCACCGCCGCCGCCACCACCACCATGCCGCCCGCCCACCGCCGCGCCGCCCCCTGGCGGCCACACCCGGGCACAGCGGCTTCTCCACAGCAGCCAGAGCCCGGCTGGGGCTAAATAATTTCAGGTTTTTTGGCGTTCAAATCTCGATAAATGAAATCGGGGGGAAAACAAAAGTGCCTTTCTGCCGGCAATCCCCGCGCGATGCCGGGTTTCCTCTAAGAGAAAGGCTGTGGCAACTCCTCCAGCGCCGCCGTCTGGGCCTTTCTGAGGGGCCCAGCAAAATACTTATTTCTGTGAGAAGGGACCTGTTCGTCAAATCCCAACCGTGAGGAAAAAGGTAATTCCGAGCGCAATGTCAGGGTGCGGGTGGTGACCTGGGGGAAGAGGTGGCTCCATGCCCGCTCTGGAAGCCCGTGTCCCGGCTGAGGGGAGCCCCTTTGCCTGGCGCCTCATCCCCACCACCACAGCCCCAAGATGTCACCTCAGGAGGTGACATCCCGCTCTCCTCCAGCCACTCCAAGGTGTGACAGTGCCACCAGACACAGCAAAGTGCCCCAAAGGAGCTCGTTTTCCCAAAAGCAGCCACCCAGGAAGCCACGACGTGTGGCACCATATCACTCTCTGCAACGTTTTTTTAAAAAAAAAGAGATATGATGTGCCGTACCCCTTCCCAGAGTTTAGGAGTGATCTTACAGGACGCTTTGGGGGAAATAAATTGTGTTTGTCCAAAGCTGTCCTAATGCATTTATTCAGAATTTCAAGAATTGCCACTCCACATGCCATTACAGGTCCAGATCAGGCTTAAGACTAGTTCTGTCCGCTGCAGACATACCTGTGTGAGAAAAAGCCACGAAGTGTGATAAGGAGAGACAAGATACAGGTACGATAGGAAGACAAGTTTGGTCATGTGTGTTTCCCCCTCCCCCAAAATAAAGTAATTCCTATTATACAGAGCTATATCCTGCCTAATTCGGATGAGAATTAGCAAATAGCAGTGAAACTTTTCCGTAAGTCAGGAGAAATACACAGACCTTACAGCAATTAGAAAAACCCACCACGCTATTTTAATCATAGTAGAGAAAGGCACAGTTATTAAGCCATCCAAGTGAAGGGCTTTCACTTCTAGAAATCTCTTTTAGAAAATATATTCATACATTTTCGCACTTCACAAGATTTAGGTATGAAACCCCATTGTCGTAACTCTCTGAAGTTACTGCTTTAAAAAAGGTTTGTAACTTTTATCTCTAAAAATATAAATCTTTCACAGAATGCTACATGAAGATTCATAATTTAAAAGCTTCAGTTAAACTCTTCCCCAGAATAATCACCTCCTGAGAGTAAAAAGCACAGCAGGCTGCAGAGTTAAATGTGCTGACTTGAGATTCCCCATAGTATATGACTGCTTTGCATTTTAATGTTCTTTATTCTGTTAATACATGTTAGGGCCACACCTCGTGTGGGAGGAAGTTGCTTTTGCAATCCTTTTGTAGTATTTACTGTTGATAGGCAACACTTCTGGCGGGGAGCGAAGATACGATTGTTCCATTGTGAAGGTATAACTTTTACACAGCCATGTGGCATTTTAGTGTTTGGAATATATGAATCTCCATCTCGTGTCACTGTGGCTAAGAATAACAACCAAAGCTTTTCTTTGAAGGGCTTACTACTTGAATTTCCAGGTTGCCCTTATACGGGAGTCACTCTTCTGGTAGATGCCACCAGGGAAAAAACAAAATAAAAAAGGAAAGAAAAAAAAAAAGGTTAAGCCCTTTCTCTCTTCAAAAGTGGCTCAGGTCTGTACAGTAAAAACATCAGGGAGCACACCTGATCTGTGCTGACACACTCCCCTTGTGCATGTCAGAGGAGTACAGAAAGTAACTTAAGAGCATGGCAAGCTGCCTGGTAGCAAACTACCCACAATTATCTGTGTTACCCAACATCCTGTGAACATCTGCTTTAAAAGTATTCTCAAGTACTTTGTCCCTGGGGCCACATAATTCTTTTTTGTAGCAATTATGCAGAACACACCAAGCTGCTCGGTTAGCTCGGTACCAAACTTGTTTAACACCTCTCTCGAGTTTAAAGCCCGTTCTCCACCCGGACCCTCGTCCAGGTGTACCTTTGATACAACTTCAAATATCAAGAAGGGCTCAGAAGAGTAACCAGCCCTTTTTGAGCTTCCCTTTTGCCAGCCATGGGGGAAATGGGGCAGCTTTCCTGACTCACTGCTGTTTGGGCTCCAAAGGAAGCGCTGTGCAACATGACTCAATAAAGACAGGTTTCTGTAGCTTCCCTCCCTTCACATTTGCTTTTACAAAGACCATTTCCACTGGGTTGCTCAACACGCTGTACAAAGATAAGCTCCTTTTGCATTACCAGTATTCAAAGGAAAAAAAATAACCCAAAATGACTGAAGTAGTTTCTGATGGGTGCCAAGTCCCCAGATTTAAGTTAAATGAAAAATGACTGTTTATGTATACATTTTAATTTCAGCTCTATAAAAAAATAAAGACTGCGATCAGATAGACAGCGTATCTGAATTATGTATCTAAATTGACTTGGGTTTGGTAATCCCTTGTTAGGCTCATTTTTCTCTGAAATACTCTACATTCACGTAGAAGGCTCTGAATATTGTTTTCAGCCTCTGATAAAGCCCTTAATTCCGTATCAGCAGAACCCTTAATCAGGGCTTATCCTTCCATCTCCATTACTTTAATGTAAGCTACAGGACTGCAGGCTCCTGTAGCTTACATTAACCGGAGCCAGAGAGAAAGCCCACAGAGAACCACCCCAAGCTTGTGGTTTTTCAGAGGATCGACCGCCTCCCCAGAGCGCGAGGAGGAGACAATGTTTTGAGCAGAGACATGGGAAGTCCGTGTGGGCAACCCCACCACAGAGGCTCTTCCTGCTCCACCCAACCGCCCGCTACGGTTTGGAGAGACCCAGGCGTCGTGCCTGGAACCAGCCCTTCTGTCCAACGCAGGTTGTTCCTGCTCAAGGTCGACAAACCTTCACTGCCAACGGGGCTGTTTGCTTCTTTCTCACAGATGCTGGTACCGTAACTCCTTTATTCCCCAAGCTGAGACGATCGTGGGCTGGCAAAGGCAAACATTTCAAAGGCTGGTTTGGCACGGGACAGCTACACCGGCGCTGGTCTTGCAAGCAGCACATTTTATCTTTGTCATTAAAGGCTGCAGAGTTCCTTCAGTGCAGACAAGCTGCTACACATACAAGAGGGATAAATCTCACTACACCTGTCAGTCATTCACAGTTCAAATCTTCTCTTCACTTCATCTGCAATCATTTTTGCGATGGCAAGGGAGGAGGTGGCAGCAGGAGACGGGGCGTTCCTGACGTGAAGAACTCTGCTTCCGATATCTCCGCTGCCTCCATCGAATACAAAGTCATCTACCAAATTTCCATCAGTGTCCAGTGCTTGAGCTCTCACTCCGGACGGACCCCTGCGGAACAGAGCTCACCATTAGCAAGAAAAAGTTTTCTCAAGTCAGAAAATCAATTCTGTTCTGACCTCGTGAAGGTGCCCAGGGCAAGAATAAGGCAGGCAGACTGTGGAGTCAAAGCCCCGACAGGCTTTTGGGGGAGCAGTGGGTAGTTTAACACTTGTGAGGCAGAGTGGGAGATGTCTCAGAGCTGTTACTGTAAAACAAGGGGAGGAAGCCAAGCAGAGGATCTTCTGTTTCTCTCCTGGTTGTGAAGTTACTCTGCTCCCCTCCCACCCCCCCAAACATGCCCTGTCTTTTCGGAAAGGAAACTCTTTGTTTTGAAATAGCAAGCCTTGTCAAACATGAATTTCATGCCAATGGTACGCTGCCTCGGCTGGGTAACTCCCTTTTACCAGGCTCCAGCTTTTCTTATTCTGGATTTTCTCTCTGCAAATTGTTGGAGAGTTAAACCCACCTCCATGTACTTAAAAGCCTCACCTTTCCTCACAAGTCTCTTCAGTTCCTTGGCATTTCTAAACTCCTTTGAATTAGTTGCTCTCTCTCCACGCAGTAAGAAGCTGAATATGGTTTTATTGAGATGATTAAACTAAGTCAATATTCACTCAGTGGCAACCCACAGTCTGGCTTCTCCTCGGAATTTCATTAGTGTTTTGCTTTCTTTGTGACCTCAGATTATTTTCAGGCTACTGAACTTTATTGCTAGGATAAAGAGACTTTTTCTTTTTTGGTGAATATGTCATAATTGTGTATTTAAGCCTATGGAGAGCACAGAAAAATCACACAAATATTCATCAAAGTTGCCTATATGCAAACAAACAAAATATAAAAGGCCTTCCTGTAGAAAGTAGTTAAATGCTTCTACGCTTCAGTAGCATATTTTGGTGGAGGAAGGGAGTAAGAAAACACTACATATGCTACTGTTAAAAATAAGAGATTTAACATGCTACTAACTAGAACTTTCTTTACCTGAGCACATCATTGACAGTGACCTCAGGGATGAACTTCTGAAGCTGCTTCACCTGCGCGCTAAGAGAACAGGCTCTGTACATCTCACTCAGGCCATAAGAGAGGTTGCTCAGCACAAGCTTCCATAACCCACTGTCAAGAGAAAATGTAACTGCAGTAAGAATAAATCTTCCATAATAAATGCAGTCCTGTCAAACTAACACTAAGAAGGCAGCGAATGCAACTGCACGGCAAGAGTTCCCATTTCCAACGTCAGTAATCCATCATGTTTCTACTTGAGAAATATGTTTGTCCTTCTCCGCTTCAACAGACCTTGTTTATAGAGCACATTTACATTCTTTCGTTGAGAATTAACTCTGAACTCATCCTTCCTATTTCCAGGATTTTTCTCTGGTCCAGTCAAATGGTAAGAGACAAAAAACCCACACGCACGAGGGAAGATGCTTGAGACCCTTTTTCACAATCATTTTGGAAAGATCATCATACTCCTAAAACCCTCAGCTTTCAGTCAATGAATCTTGCTATGTCTTTACAAATCTTGTTTGTTTGCTTTGCTTTCCTCCAGTCTTCCAGTATAGAAATCTATCAACAATGAGCAAGATGCTTTCAACTCTTTAATAAACTGCATTAAGTTGAGCTCTTTGCCAGAATGTTTTTTTTTCCAATTCCCTGACCTGTTCTGCAGCCTCTCACGGAATCACAGAATGGTTAGAGCTGGAAGGGACCCAATTGCCTGACCTGTTGTGCAGCCTCTCACGGAATCATAGAATGGTTAGAGCTGGAAGAGACTTTAAAGATCATCCAGTTCCAACCCCCTGCCCTGGGCAGGGACACCTCCCACCAGACCAGGTTGCTCCAAGCCCCCTCCAACCTGGCCTTGAACCCCTCCAGGGATGGGGCAGCCACAGCTTCTCTGGCCAACCTGGGCCAGGCTCTCACCACCCTCACGGTCAAGATTTTCATCCTAAAATCTCATCTACATCTCCCCTCTTCCAGTTTGAAGCCATTACCCCTTGTCCTATCACTACATGCCCTTGGGAAAAGTCCCTCTCCAGCTTTCCTGTAGGCCCCCTTTAGGTATCGGAAGGCCGCTATAGGGTCCCCCCGGAGCCTCCTCTTCTCCAGGCACTCCACTCTCCATGGATCCTCCCCACTACTGCCACATTCTAATGTCTAATTTCTAAAATTAATCTAAGTTCTAAAATTGAGCACTTAGTAATGGTCTATCGAGCCCTTCATAATGAAGCAAGATTTCTCTTGCCTTCTACACATACGCCGTTCATTTCTGTTTGCAATTTTAGTGATGATTCCCAATTCCTCTGACATGCACCTGGGCATTTTTTAAATGTGTATTGATGGTCTGACAAAGTTTAACATGGCAACTCAGACCACTCCGTGTTCTCTCTTCCAAGCATCCTCTGCAGGTATTTTAATTACACTGTCGAGGTTGATTAAAACATCCCACGGCATCGGACCAAAACCAACCCTGGAAGAGCTCCACCAGCAGCACTGTGGCTCACCAGCACCTTGCCATGAGCAGCCGCATTCTCAGACCAGCTGAGACATGTCTGGGGAGTTTATGAAAATTCAAATATTAGGTCACATAAAGTCAAGCGTCTTGGAGAAGTCTCCACCCTTATCAGCACAACTGTCTTGAAAACACACCAAAAAAACTTGGCAAAAGCAGGCATTTTGACAAGAAGTAGCTTCTCTATGGTCCCTTCCAACTCTAAAAATTCTGAGGTTGATTAAAACATCACACAGCATCAGACCAAAACCAACCCTGGAAGAGCTCCACCAGCAGCACTGTGGCTCACCAGCACCTTGCCATGAGCAGCCGCATTCTCAGACCAGCTGAGACATGTCTGGGGAGTTTATGAAAATTCAAATATTAGGTCACATAAAGTCAAGCGTCTTGGAGAAGTCTCCACCCTTATCAGCACAACTGTCTTGAAAACACACCAAAAAAACTTGGCAAAAGCAGGCATTTTGACAAGAAGTAGCTTCTCTATGGTCCCTTCCAACTCTAAAAATTCAGTGAAATTCCACGGTGTCCCAAGCTGATGTTTAAATAACTGCGTTCAGCAGATGAGAAGATATTACCTGTACATTACAGCATCTAGAAACTCTCCAGCACTGAAGTCAAACAAGCTGTAGCCCTCTCTCTTGAAGGCCAGGACCGCGTTGGGACCCAGCCAAATGCTGCCGTCCATCCTTGGCGTGAAATGAAAGCCCAGAAATGGGAACCGAGGATTGGGAACCTAGAGGGGGACACAGCAAACTCAGCCAGGAAACGTGGAAAACTTTTGTGAAGAGGAAAGTACAGACATTAACAGTTTACTGTGCGAGAGAGTGAATAAAACAGACCACAACACAGCAAAGGAGTTGTCCTCTCTATAAATGGAAATAACTATTTTTAAATGAACAAGCGAAAAAGGAAGTAAATTAAATTTTCCATTTTATTTCCAATCATTACAACAAAATTTGGGTCATATAACCATACAATTGGCTCCTGCCCTGGTTTTTCTGCTTTTTTAAATTGTGCAGTTATAGCACATAACTAATTTAAAACAATGAAGAACAGAGCAGGGCCAAGTAAGGCTGCATCTTAGGTAAAAGCAAAACAAACAACAGGGGAAAAAGAAATATACATGATTTCTCAGGATATAAATCAACCCACAACAAAACCAACGGCACACTAATGCTATTCAGCAGTAGTAATTATGCTGTAATAAAATAGGTTATAAAATATTAGGAAAACCTCACCATACCTGTGTTGCTCAGAACAACGTGCAGTTACCAAGCCTGATTAATGCTAATAATAAATACCTGCAGTTTCTTTTTTGTTTGCAAATGGAAAACAGTGTAACTGTGTGCGACGGCTGAAACAAAAATAAGCTGTGTGTGTGCAGGTACAAGTATTAAATAAACACACCTCTACACGCCCTGGCACTTTCAGATCTTTAGCTATTTAGAAAAGGTGACTACAGAGGTGACACAGGCTGAAAATCAGCAAGTAGTGGGTATTTCTCACAAACCAGTATTGCTATGGCTAAAAAGTGCTTTAAGATATGGTCCTTTTCTGTGTTCAGTGCATTGATTTTCCTGCTAAAACCATGCCTTTAATACTTTTGAAGCTAAGTTCAACCACTGCACAAACTATATTACATTTCTGGTAACATACCCCTAGGAATCATGCAATTTTCTAGTGTTTAGCTGGGAAATTCAAGTTCATATTCAGAAAGGCAGGACTTCAATGTATTGCACCAATCAACTAAAATGCTGCTCTAGGAATTCTCTCTTCTTGCTCACTAACTTCCATTTTCTGTCTGGGATTCCTCCTCTTGATCACACTATTTGTCTGTATTAGATGGGTGAAAGCTTGTCCTTTTCCTCTTGTGCCTATTTTTTGTCATAATTCAAAGTAAATTCAAAATAAAGCTAATTCAAAGATGAGGCTGAAAGACAAATACCTAAATCCAAGCTTTTGGGTATTAGGACACAAGATTAAACTCTACATCTAAGTAATTAATTATTTACCGTTGTCCCTCATTGACTTCTGAATCCTGCCAACAGATTTATTTTATAACGCGAAGAAAGAAGCCAGGTTTTTGTGGGCATGTGGCTTTCATGCTAAACGGTTCATTCTTTCCCTATTAAAAAACCAAAAACACAAACAAAAAAAAAAGCCAAACCGGAGAGTACATACCGGATAAATATTTCCTTTAACCATATAGGAAAACCCCAACTGGCGATAGTTTCCCATGTGGTACTTCTACCTGTTCCTCAAGAATTAACAAAACAAAATTATTCTCTCAGAAAGCAACTGAATTTACATCCACAGGTATCACTATCTGCAGTCTAACAGAAATAACTGTGTAATATTGCCCTTATTTCTGTAGTTTCAGCAGTTCTTAGAGTGCACCATGAAAGCCAAACCGGAGAGTACGTACCGGATAAATATTTCCTTTAACCATATAGCACTTTTCTGGTTTTAGCACCAAATAATCCCCACGGAAGGGCACGATCCGAGGTTCGGGGCTGCAGCCGCTGATCTCCGAGAGCCGGTCTGAGTAAAGTCCTGCACAGGTCACAATGTGCCGACAGTAGATTTCCTCACCCTGTCCAAAACAAAACAAAACACACAAAAATTCAACGTATCTACTAAAAAACCACCCATTGCCCCAAAGAAGAGTCCAGATATTTTCTCCTCGTGGCTTTCTGATGATGAAATGATTCTAGATGCCTCCCTATCGTTTTTATAGATGCCGAAGACTCAAAGCAAACATGAAAACAGGTGTTTCTCCCCAAATGATTTAAGTGATGAAAGGAGTGCTTGGAAACAACAAGCACAAGAATGTGCAAATAAAGAAGATAAGGGACATACACAGTGAAACATAAGCCAGGCAGTGAAAAGTTATACTTTCATTATTATTCCCAGTAGGAATAATTATTCCACCAGGACTCAACATGAATTCTTAAGAAAAGGAGAAACAGTTTCCTATTAAGCAATTAAATCTTCAACTTAGTTCTTACCTTTGAGTTCCTAACAACGACTGGGTATTTCAGCCCTGTAACAGAATTAGACAAGAGAAGAATATGTAACAGAAAACTGTCAGAACAAGCAACTTGCCACCATTAAGGGTTCTTCCACTGGGAGATCTCCAAGCTCTGGAGCAGCTACTGTTAACATAACTGATATTGTTGCATGTAATTATATTTAGGAATCAACAGGTTTTTTTAAAAAATTTTTCCATATATGTACCAGCACAGATCCAACCTGCCTTCCAAGGTAAAGAAAAAGCACTATCATACAAATACATATGTGACATTCAGCTAAATCTGATCTTAGTAGGAGAGTAAAAGAGAGAAAGTAGGTTGTTCTGTCATTTTCTTCCACCAGCATTAGATGTTTCAGCTGAAGGGTGACCTGCCTGAGAAAAAAAAATGAGCTTGCTCCATATTCTAACATAATTTTGCCTTTTGTCTCTGCTCTATGAGACAGAAAGGTTCAGAAACGTGATTTCAGTCAAAGCAAATGTGTTTTGAGCAGGATCTGTGGCAGGACTGTAGCAAATAAGAAGGGTAAAAAACCTGCCTTACCGTCGTCACTTTCTGAAGAGCTTTCTTTAGCCATCTCCATGTTTGTAACTTCAAAATCAGTCAAGATTGTGCCACCTGCTTCCTGGAAGTCTTCAGCGTAGGACTGGGCCACTTGTTTGTAATTCACGATGCCAGTATAAGGAGAATCAAGGGCCATCAGACCCTGGAACAGTATGGAGATACAGAAGAACAGTGAAGGCTGTACACAGACTTTGGAATGGCAAATGCATATGAAGGATAAAAAGTTCCAGAAATAAACAGATACATTTATTTTTATTGACAATTATATTTCTCCTGGGTTTTGAGGCTCTTTTAAACTTGTCGACCCTGCCAATTACCTCAAGGCCAGAAACGTATTTATGTTAAATTATAACATTATACGAGAAACTGAGGTCTTACACGCCAAATAAAAATAAGCAAATCCCTTACCCTGCAGAAGGGTTCTTTGGCTTGTATTTCCTTCGGTCCAATCAGCCTCAGACCTGGGACGTTGTTCTGCAGCCCCCGTTCATACAGAGCTTTGAGTCTTGGAATTTCATCTTGTTCAACGGCTACAATTAGCTTCAGAAAGGATAACAAGGTGCACCAGTGAGCAAAGCATACAAAGCCAGTTCAGGATTGGCACCAAGCCCAAGCCAACAGCGAACGGGTGAACTGTAAATTATAATTCGGGGCAGGGGGGGGAAATGTGGTTTGTGCCATTAGTGGCACAAGATTCTATAAATACCTATTATTACTAAGAAAGCACCTATATATTAAGGAGAGTGAAAAACAAACATTGAACTGTAGTTTAAGTTACTGCCAATGGATAATATTTGCTAAAGTAGCATAAGACTACAAACTTGACTGTGAAAGAAGAGAATATGACTTTAAAGAGCCACTGGGACGCTTCCAAAAATAAAACTGACCTTAACCCAAGATGTACAAATCTCAGTCTTGATACAAGAGTAAGGACACGTTCCGTCACCGTGTTTAAACTGAACTGCACCAGCTCCACTGTGCTTCACCATGTAATTAGCTCACACCTATCACAAGACGTTTGTCCAGACAATGAACTGTCTGTACAAAGTTTGCACAGACCAAGTTTGCCAGGCCCAGCCCAGGTCTGCCAACACAGGCACCTTTGCACTGAGAAGGCAGCGTGATCTCCAAACCTGGGGCTGCTTTATGTAAAACAACCTGTAAAGCCTCAACATCACAGAAGCATAGAATTCTCTGGGTTGGAAGGGACCTTTCTGATCATTGACTCCAACCATCAACCCAGCACGGACAAAACTATCACTAACCCCTGTCCCTCAGCACCACGTCTGCCCAGTTTTTAAATCCCTCCAGGGATGGGGACTCCACCACAGAATCACAGAATCTTCTAGGTTGGAAGGGACCTTAAAGATCATCTTGTCCAACCGTCAACCCAACTGACAAAAATAGACACCCACACAACAAACAAGGAGGATCGCAGCCCATTCCAGTGTTTGACAACCCTTCTGGAGAAGAAATTTTTCCTAATATCCATCCTAAACCTCGCCTGGTGGAACTTGAGGCCGTTTCCTCTTGTCCCATCGCCTGTTCCTTGGGAGAAGAGACCGACCCCCCCTGGCTACACCCTCCTTTCAGGGAGTTGGAGAAAGCGAGAAGGTCTCCCCTCAGCCTCCTTTTCTCCAGGCTGAACACCCCCAGCTCCCTCAGCCTCTCCTCACAAGACTTGTGCTCCAGACCCCTCACCAGCTCCATTGCCCTTCTCTGGACCCGCTCCAGCCCCTCAATGTCTTTCCTGTCTCGAGGGGCCCAAAACTGGACACAGCCCTCGAGGTGGGGCCTCATCTTCCCTGGAATAAAGGCTGTGGGGGAGGTGATGCAGAAGTACACAAATCTGGTGTCAGCAAAGGACCAACAATGCTGCTGGGTCGGTCCAAGGTCAAACTGGTTCCTACAGAGCAATTCTGCTGGCTCGGTGCTTTTTGTTGAGAGGAGGCTCGTAACTCCAGGTGTAGGGCTCAGCAAATCCACAGTGCCACCTTGTGACCAGCGCCGCAGCCAAGGGAGCCCAGTATGAACCGGGGACAACTGCCACCAGCCTTGGTTCGAGGGCCAGGGACACTGTCACCTCCAGGGATGTCTGCTCTGTGCTGCAGATCTGGCAGGGATCTGCACCCAGCTCCCAGAGGGTGCTGAGATACGGGGCCTCGTAGGGACGCTTGTCACATCAGCATCACACATTTAAGAGAAAGGCTCATGCTGTCCAAGAGGTTTATGAGCAACCTGGAAAGGGGCAGGGAGGTGGGACAGTCTGACGATGGTCTGAAGTGACTCAAGGTGCTTCAGACAAGAGGTGACCATTAAGAACAGCAGAGGGACCTTCCGAGGGGAAGGAGCGACTAACGAAACGGCAGATTAAATTAAATGCAGAAAAACATGGAATGACAATGACAGAAAAAGCAGTTGCAGCCTCATGTATAAAATGATAGATTCTAAGTTCAAAGTTATCACTCGGCACCAAGATTTTGGGGTTAGAGTAGACAACCCTGTGGAAACATCAGCTCAGTGCCTAGCAACAGCTGAAAAGCCCTAAATTGAATATTAGGAACAACTAGGAAAAGGATATAGGATAATACAAAGAACTCTGCAATTTCAAGGCAAAAATCCAGAGTCTGACCACAGCTGGAATGCTGGGCACAGCTGTGGTCCTCATCTCCTATCAAAGAGGCATTAAACGAGAAATGGTTCAGAGAACGACAACAGGGTGGAGAGAATCATGAAAAAGCTTCTCCAAAAGGAACAGCTGATCAGATTAAGAATGACAGGGTGGAGAGAATCAAGAAAAAGCTCCTCCAAAAGGAACAGCTGATCAGATTAAGACTAAGTAAGGGGTGACTTTGGGGGAGGAGGGCACATAAAATGATGTGGAACTTGGAAGGTGTGAGCACACATCAACTGTTCACCCCCTCTTCCAACACAAGGGCCTGGAGGCATCAGAGGGGGCTTGTAGGAGCCAGTTTCAAAACGATGTAACTTTTCAGCAGGTTGTCCATCTCCACAACTGCTCATCAAAGGGTGCTCTGAGGCAAAAGCTTTTAATCAAAAAACACTTGGAAGAAAAATCCATTGAGGGTCACTATGGAAACAACAGATGGGGCTCAGAAAATAACCTGAGATGGAAAAAGTTGGAAGCTGGAACAATTAATAATTTGGTTGTGCTGTTCTCCTTCCTCCCCTGGTCTCTGTTTATAGACGCTTCCAGAAACAGGACATAGGGCTGGGCAGACCCCAAGCTGAATTAGCGCAGCCACTCTCCTCCTCAGCATCTCAGGCTGAGTTAGCTGGGTGTATCACGGTATAAATGCATGTAGCTGGGTGACATCTGGAGCTGCTTCCAAGTCAGGGAGTCTTTTTGGAGCCTGACAGACCAAGAAGTATGGCGTGTACACACTGAGAGCCTTTGTGTGCCTTGGAATTACACAGGTGGCCCTCCATGGGGCATGGACTCCACCATTTATTTGGGTTCAGCCCCCAGATAAGGACAATTATTATTTAGGCCCAGAAAAGGAACTGATTTGAGTTGCTGGAAAGAAGAAAACAAAAAAAGGCACGTTCATCCCGAAGGTAACAAGTGCTGCAGAAACTCCTCTCTTGGGAGAAAGGCCACAAGCAGGTCTAAGCTATACATTGTAACATACATTATACAGCCTCAGTTTCCAAAGGTAAAATAAAGCACCAAGCAGCTCCTGTACCTTCCCGCACTGTTTATAGGGTATTCCCTTCTGGTCACAGTACTGGTAGCAGAGGGCTGCCCCCTGCACACACAGCTTGGCTTTCAGAGATCCAGGCTGGTAGTAAATCCCACTGTGAATCACGCCGCTGTTACGTCCACTCTGGTGATGAGCTAAACAGAAAGAAGAATACCTTATTAAAATACATGTCAAAATACAGGTCATTCCTTCATTATTTCAGCTGTCAGAAGAGAGAGCAATTTGAGGTCCTGCCCTAAATCAGCGTTACAAGAAGAGATGCTCAAACAAGGTGACTGCACAGCAAACACAATTCCTCCCTCGGCCTCAAAAGGCTAGAAAAATACTGACACTGAGACCTAGTTAATAATAAACCATCACCGTTTGTAACATGGAAAGAAAAAACAAAGGAAAAGGGGAAATTTAAAAATAAAAAGGAAAAAAAATAACAAGTTTTCCACCCAAGAGCTACAATTGGAGGCCAATCAATCAAAATTTTCTACGTGTTAAAATGAAGATATTCAATTTTTAAAATGAAAGGCATCCTTAAAGGCCTCATCTCACATGATGTCTGTGCAACCCTCCGTTTCTTTGGACGTGTTGGCAGGGCTGGTGGGCTTTTTGGGTGTTTGTGAACTGGATCGGGTTGCTATTTCCTCCCTGTAACTAAGTAAAATAGAGGTGAAAAAGGTCACAAGCATTTCCATTGAAGTAATTTGGGCAGGTTCTCCCTCTTAAAATATTGATGCCCAAAGGTCACTCCTGCTTCGCGCTCACACAGCTGTTAAGGTCTTCATGCAGGTCTCGTCTTGGGGATAAAAAGCCACTCTGTATCACACAGGTAACATCTCAAGAGCAAGGTCTGGCCTGGCTGATGGGGCTATTTACAGCGAGAGCTTGGGCTGACAGGTCTTATTTTGAATTCTCCACTGGCATGATCGCTTGGGGTTGCTCCTACCTCCCCTGAGCGACGGGGTACCTGCATGAGCACTCAGTGTGAAGGTTCCTTATGATGAACTTGTGCTCCTACTTGAGTGACCTTTCAAACAACGGAGTAACAGGGCTCCTTCTTTCTTATTTCAAAGCCCCAGTGCAGAGTCCCTCAAGATTTCCTGTGGAAGCAGGCAACACCAGGCACTGAGCCATTTTACCCCAGCTAATGCGGGGTCAGCGATTAGTGATATCGTCACAGCGATCCCTGTGTTAGCCCTTTGCCTTCCACCTGCCATGCAAACGACAGCACCTCGTGCAGCACTCACAGGGAGAGCCAGAAACATGGGGCAAGTGCCTCTGGTTCACAGCTCTGGCAATTAATTGCCAAGGTGTGGACTTTGCCCAGACCAGCAGCTCCCAGACGTTTCCAAGCAGCTCTACTTCCCAGCCCTCCCTCTCTACCCACCAACCATCACCGTTTGTTGTTCGCTTCTTCACTCTTCTCCTCATGCTCCACCAAAAAGCTGTCCTGGCACCATTTCTCAGCTGATCCTCTGCCTCCCACCCCATGCAGTACCAAACCAGACCTGCCCCTGCCCATCTGCGGCCGGCACCGCTCCTTACGAGAGTCATTCACCCTCCTTGTCCTTGTCCCCAAAATCCCAGGCCAGTAGGACCTGCTGCTTTCAAACAACGAAGGGGCAACGTTCAGTCTTCCTTAACTTAAAGTCCCAACTTGAAGTGCCAGCAGTGAAGCACAGGCTGATGACAGCTCTGCTTTTCCACTGAAGGATGCGTCCTTGAGCAAAGTAAGGAAGAAATGCCCCTTCAGGGCAAAGCCAGGAAGGAAGATGCTCTTCCCAGGGGGAATCACAGAATGGTTTGAGGGGGAAGGGACCTTAAGGATCATCCAGTCCTAGCCCCTGCGCAGGGCAGGGACACCTCCCACCACACCAGGTTGCTCCAAGCCCCCTCCAACCTGGCCTTGAACCCCTCCAGGGATGGGGCAGCCACAGCTTCTCTGGGCAACCTGGGCCAGGCTCTCACCACCCTCCCACCAAAGATTCTTCCTAATATCTCATCTCAATCTCCCCTCTTCCAGTTTGAAGCCATTACCCCTTGTCCTATCACTACATGCCCTCGGAAAAGTCCCTCCCCATCTCTCCTGGAGCCCCTTTAGGAACTAGAAGGGGCTCTAAGGTCTTCCTGGAGTCTTCTCTTCTCCCATTCCAGCAAGAAGGACAGATGTTCTCCCTTGGCTGCCCGTCCACCCAAACCCTGAGCTTCCCTTTGCGTGTACGTTCATAAAACACTGAGGCTTTGGCCAGCGTGTGCCCTGAGCGCAGATTCCCGACAGACTGACACCCGGCAGCCCCAAGCCCCGGGGGGAGGCAGCCCCCCCGCCACCATACCTAGCTCCTGCTCCTTCTCCAGCACGGCCAAGGCGAGCGAGGGGTGCCGCCGGACGAGCTCCCGGGCCGAGGCCAGCCCCACGATTCCCGCGCCCACCACCGCCACGTCGAAAGTGCTGTCGACAGACAGACAGACACGGGCCGTGAGCTCGCCCCCACAGCCTGAGGGGACGGCGACCCTGAGGGGAAGGCGACGACCCGGCCCCGGCCCCC